CCAGTGAAACAAGCACAGGTTGCAGCTTGCTTGTCCTAAGAGTTAGTAATGCAGAATTTGGAAATGCTTTGTACTTCCAGATATCAGACTACTGCTGCAGGTCTTACTGTGGATTTCAAGCTCTAACTTTGGGCATACAAGTCTGGATATGTGTGGAGATGCTAAAGCAATGGGACTATATCCTTCTGTGGGAAGGAAAAAGTAATTATGGTCAGGGTGGTTATTTGATCTTACTGTAGTTTTGCAGAAAGGATACATCATCTTCAGGACCTAGCTGAAAATATATGTGGTTGCATAATTGAATGTTAAAGCCTCCAGTACTTATCCTGTTCATTCCCTTGGTGGTTGTATCTTAATGCTCCTAACATAAAATAGCCCCATAACAAACAAATATAATTTTCAAATGAGAAGGTTGAGATATTGAACCAGTGCCTGTTACTTCATTGTCTTTTCATATAAGGTTTCCTGCTCTGATAAAATATTGAACCGTTTGTAAGTGAGCACAGCTTTTTAGCTCTTTTATGCTGCTGTGAATCTGTGAAGTGAGTGGAGTTGCTACCCAAGGATGCCGTACTTCTTGGAGAGCTAGATGTGAGAAACTGTGTCAGGTTACCTGAAACTTGAATGCTCAAGTAATTCACAGTATAATCTTGTTAAGCTGCAGTTATTGTATCTGATGCCTTATAGTTGGCATGAAAAAAAAAGAAGTCTCTTCCAACATCTTGGCAGGTTCATTAGATTAGCTTATTATTCAGATTTAACATAATTTTTATAAAATACTTTGTTACATATTTACTGATTTGTTCATTAATATGCTGCAATAGTACTGTGATGAATCAATTCAGCTAATCTTATTTGCCAAAATGAATTAATGAGGTATATCTGTTAAAGCTATATTTTCGAAGGTTTTATATTCTATTTACTTTCTTAGGAAAATGTTTTGTTTAATAAGTCTGCAGGCTCTTTTTGTGTAATTAGCTCAAAATAGATGTGGAAGGAAATTTTCCTTCAGATATACTCCATTGTTTCAAAATGGAGTATATCTGAAAGAAAATTTAAATGGACTTCAGTATAGCAAAGGAAAATTATTTTATGTCTTTCAGAAGGGTATGTTAGGTGTTTTTTCATTAGTTTCACACCAATCTTTATGCATTAGTGCAATGGAAACATGTCATATACTCAACCTTTGGATCAAGTGTCAGTGATTCCTTTTCAAGTTCCAGCATCAGGTTGGCTTCACTATTTAACAAAACCGCTTGGTAAAACCTGTACAAATGTTGGCTGGTAGAAGCAAGCTGTCCTGGCCTGTTTAGTGCCACAGGAAGAGCAGCAGACAGGGATAAAGAAAATTGCTCCTTCTTACAAGATCTTGTATCAGCAAGGCAAGTTAACATAACCATGTCATTTATCTGTGTCATTTTCTGTTATGTGCTACTTAATAATGTGTCTTTGACCAACCTTTCAATACCTTGTCCTCACAATACAATTTAGTCTTCTGTGCAATTTATTTGCTGTTACCAAAAGTCAGTATTATATTACTGAAGCATACCCATGCTGGAGAATGAAGGTAGTAAAATATGGACTGTGATTTATAGTCATTATAAGTTACATCCTTTTGTTTAAGGAGAAATGGTAGTAATCGGAAGGAATGGAAATGGAATTACAGTGTGTTATGGTTCAGTGATGTAATATGCTTATATGCTTTTTACCTTGGAGCATCAGAGGATTAGTAGTTATATACCTGCCACCTAAAAGCAGGAAAAAAAGATGTATCTAGCTTATAGGGTGTCCTTGGTTCAGTTGTAATGGTTATTTTTCTCCTTCTCAGTAGCTGGTGCAGTGCTGTGTTTTGGCTTTAGTCTGAGGACAGTGCTGATAATACACTGATGTTTTTGGTTGTTGCTAAGTAATGCTTACTCTGATCAAGGACTTTTCAGTCTCTCATGTTCTGCCAGTGGGGAGGAGCATGAGAAGCTGGGAGGAAGCAGAGACAGGACACCTAACCCAAAGTAGCTAAAGGGGTATTCCATACCACAGCACATCATGCCCAGTATATAGACTGGGGGGAGTTACCCAGAAGGCCCAGATAACTGCTTAATTAGTTTAGGTTGGGTTGGGTATCAGTCAGCAGGCGGTGAGCAATTGTATTGTGAGCCACTTGTATTTATTGTTGAGTTGTTTTTCCCCCTTCCCTTTTTAGTTTTATATTGTCTGCCCTTGTTATTTCCCTTATCATTAGTATTGGTAGTAGTACCAGCAGTTTTATATTATACTTTAGTTACTGGACAGCTCTTATGTTAACCCGTGGGGTTTACATTCTTTTGATTCTCCTCCTCATCCTGCTGGGACCAGAGAGAAGAAGGGAGGTAGTGAGCAAGCAGCTGCATGATTCTGAGTTGCTGGCTTGGGCTTAAAGCACAACATAGTGGTATGTGCGATTTTCTCAACTTTTTTTTTTTTTAGGGAAAAATCCCTGAAGTGACTGAAAATAACAGCTCCTCCCAGTATGTGCTGTGGCTTACGCAAGTGTTTAATATTATGTTCCACTATATTTGTGTAGAGTTTCAACAGCCATAGCATCAAGATGTTGGAGGTGGTTGTGAAGCAGTCTTGAGTCCTACTGATTTAAATTTCTAATTTGAATTCAGAATGTAATAATTGCTTTTTACTCCGTTCTGCAATTTTGGCTAAAAAATCTTATTTAAGATTCAGTTATCACTAGAAATGTGTCTATTTTTTATTTATTTGGTACTGCATTATAATTTGCTGAAAGCAGTTTAGGCAGCAGTCACACTGTTCAGAAAGTACAAAAGAGGAATGACAGGAGGCTTTTGTTTGTTTTGTCAATTATTCTTAGGCAAACAGGGGTAATAGATTTATCTGTTGTCACAGGGTTGTTCCTTTCTACCCGACAGTTGGTTTTTCATTTACTTATTTATTTATCCATAGGTGTAGAAATTTATTAATTTCTTCTATCTTAACTTGGTGTCTTCTTCATAGTTGCATGGCACCTTACACAATTAGCTTGAGGGGTGAAAAGAATTATGTAAGTCAGCAGTTTTTCAAACTCTTGACATTTCATAAACAAGTGTTTTATGAATGTTAATCTCTATATAAAGTCAGTGCCTTGGAATCTTGGGTTGCAGAGAGCAATGTTTTTCAACATTGCACAGTCGTATTTTTTTCTTGCTGAAAAAGACATCTTTGCTATTTATTTGCTGGTTTTGTGGTGGCTGAAGGTTCATAAACTTCTTGTATGCTTTCCATTGCCACAGGTTAACATTACTTTTGGGAATAGAGGTTCCAATGTAGGGCAATAAATACTAGTATTTAATTATTTTTATTTAGTAAAAGATATATCCAGTCTCACTATAATATTCATAAATGTATTAAAGATCAGACTTTTCTTGGGTTAAAGTTTTTCTACTCTGTATCTCTTACTTGTATTTAGTACTATTACAAGAAAAAATGGAACAAAACCCTATCTATATTATCTAAACTGAAATATGCAGAATTTTCTCAGTTCTTAACCATTTAAAAAGTTAACCCCTCCTAGTGATTGTTAATAGTCTGTCTTTATTTTTCACTTTGTCTACTCTTTCCTGCAGATCAAGTGCAATAGTTTACTAGTTTAATTACTGCCTTTCCAAGAGTGTTCATAGGGTCTAAAGTATGTCATTTTCATTCAGAGAGAACCTTGATGGGAAAAGGATGAAAGTGTTTGCAAACTAGCAGTATGGGTGTATTTGTGCTCCCTTAAATTCTGCAGTTATTATGAAAGAATGGCAGCTGAGAAGGCAGAAAATTCAGGATCCGAAGATCCTTTTCAAAAAATCATTACTCAAACACAGGTGAAGTAGACATATAGCCAATGGGGTATTTAAGGATGATAAAGTACAACAGCAATTGCTGCTGTTCTGGTTCTCCTGGATGATTACAGTTTTCTTCCCTCCCCCCCCCCAACAGTCTCAATAGCCTGTTTCCCTGGATTAGCAGTGATTTTCTAATTAAATGGAATTTCAAAGACAAATGCCACCTTCTTGATGCCAAAACTTGTCACAGAAAGGATTGCTTACCCTGGATCTCCCACTTGACAAAGCAGAGAGAAAGGTTAGCTGCTGTAAGCACTCTTTTGGCTCGGTAAACAGCTGAGTGTCCTGACTCTCACTGGCTTTGCAAATGTTAAGGTTTTTCAGCACCTATAAAATTTACTTTGATGTCTCAGATTTAAGCTACCATTCAGCAGTGACAGTATGTTACAGTCATGTTATCACTCTGTGGCTACTGTTATTGGACTTTGATCCATTGCCGTCTTTGTGAAAGTGCCAGTCCTACAGGTATTTGACTAGCCTAATTTATTCATTCCGCACAGCTAGCCTAAAGTCATCTTGTGCACCTCAAAATAGTTTCCCAGTCACTCTTCTCCAATCTTTCTTAATGTACAGTGGTGAATCAGGGGTGTTTCTCAAAGCATGTTCATTAACCTCCCACCTCTCCCCTTCCCCTTTATTTGGAAGAAAATCAGCTTTCTCACTAATAGTTTAGGATCAGCGTGCTGTGTTCCACTGTGCTGGCATTCTCCAAAATCTTCTAGATCTTCTAGAAATCATCAGGAATGTGACTCAAGATTTCTTGTTGAGCTTAGAACACAAAAGCAGTCCAGAAAAAAAAAAAAAAATTTCTAGGGAACCTGTAGTATCTTCAGCAGACATTTTGTAGACTTGAGAATCTTCAGCTTCCCAAACAAGTTACAGAGGACCCTCACTGCTTGGACCTATGAACTCAAATGCATTTGGTCTTTCCTACTTCTTTGATCTCTGTTCCACCCATTTCATGTGCCTTGTCCATGATAATTTTTGTTTTGCTTTTAGTGGTCTGTTGAAGAGTGAGCAAGCTGAGACCCTCATGGAACATGTCCCCTACGTTTAGGTCTCTTTGCTAGTAACATGAGTGTCGAATTTCAATTGTTTTTAATGACTGGGAGTTTCTTTTGATACCAGGTGATGCAGATGTATCTCCCTTTCTGTGGGATTGCCATATCCAATGCCCAGCTATTTGCAGCATCAAGGAAGGAGTATGACAGAAGCAGGGTAAGTAAAAAATGTATAATGGATCAGTATCAAACTCCTGTCTTTTGTTCCTTCAGATTCCAGCTATGCATTGGGTGTTTGCTAAGCAGACACTTTAACTATGTTTTATTTAAAAGAAAAAGGATTTTCAACAGATCACTGTCTTCACTGAGGTAGCAAACACAGAGTGTGGGAGGGAAATACGCTCATGGTTGTGGCTGTTGTTTCTTGATGTCAGATCCATGCTTTGTAGTGCTGAAACAATTGCATTTGTGATACAGACAGTGCAGGAGAGAGCACTGCTTTGGCAGACATTCAAGCTCTCATAGAATTCCAGAAATATCAAACCTTTGCCATCCTGAATTTGTAATATTCAATTCATGTGCAAATAATGTGACTGTATCTTTATAAAAGTAAGCAAGAAAAAACCCTGTATGTGAAGGGTTTTGACAGTGTGTGTCTGCTTAGGTACATTACTCACATTACTCATGATTGCTGATGCCATGCATGAGTTGGTATAGGAGGCTCCGAAGGAGTGAAAATAATGCTGAGCTCACATGTCATTTACTTCTCAGAAAAGTCTTTATTTTTTTTTTAGAAATAAAACTGTAATTTTGAGGGATTTTTTTATAGTTGTTGGCTTTTTGCCCCTTGTTTTTTTAATCACCTTTCCTGCAATGACAGGAAATGGTACTTTTGCTATCATGGATCACAGCTCCAAAGCTTCAGTAGAAATACCACCAGTAGCGTTGAACCTACTCTTGCTTCAGTGAGCAGGGGAAACTACAGCAGGGTGAGTCTGTACATTGAACATTGATATTTATATAGTCAGGATATTGGTGCTTTCCATGCATGGAAACTAATGCTTTCCACTACTTTGAAAACTAGCAATAGCCCTTTCTAATGGTGTATATACTTAAGCGTCATGGAGTATCTGAGCTTGTCTTCCATCTAGGTCTGACTGCAGACCACTATGTTTTAGGATGGAGATGTGGAGGAGAAATGGGGTGAAAAGAAAAGATTTTCTCCTGAAGACGTTTTTCTTTAATGTTCAAACAAAATACTTGTTTGACTACATAGAGACTTAAAATTTGCTGCAGATTCCCAGACTGCAGGGAACAATGACAGACTTTTTGAGGAGTCAGCGTTTAATCTTCAGAGTGGCCATAGTATTAGGGATATTCTCGTTATTCATTCGAAAATGGTAAATTCTGGTGGTTGGACACATCAGGAAATTGGATTAGGAATAAACTTTGTTTCTTGTTGCTGCTGCCATGTGAGGCATAACAAATATCTTTGTGTTTGACCACTGCATGGTAACCTGTACTTAATTGCATTTCTTACCTGCTGGTGGTCTTTAGCTTTGATAAAATTAGTTGGCAGGTAACATGCTATGGACAAACTCATATTTGCCTTCCCTTTCGAACTGGATACCGATGGTGGCAACTTCCAGTGACTGTGACCCACATTTTGTTGATAACCACTGTTAGGAGAGCTAAGACCACTAACGTTTATATACTTACCTATATGGATGTTCTTTAGTGTTGGCCTCTTAAACCAGAATAAAGAATAAAGCACACTTCTCTGGACCCATGGTAAGAAAGAACATGGCCTATTATTTTTAAAGCATATTAAATGAGAGGGGAAGCCCTTTGTTTTAAAACATATTTTACAGACATTGTTAGTGGTAAAGATTGAATCAGAGTGCTACTGGAATATGGAAGTATTGATGTCTTTCTTTCCAGCTTTGAGCATGCAAAATGGGCCATAAATTAATAAAATCTAGTTTAAATGCATCAGCAAATTCAACACAGAAGATAAAGTAACTCAATCCATACTGTGTACTTGGAGAGTTGGATTACAGCCATTGATTATTTTTTGGACTACAGTGAAATAGTTTGAAAGATTCCCATTGTTTGCTAGGAGTTAATTTATACCCAGTTATGGCTAAGAAACACTTCCTGTCGTGGTTTAAACCCAGTCAGGTAATTCGTTCACTCACTTCCCCCCCCTTTCTTGCCCTCCCCCTGCTCTCGGAGGGACGGAGAGGAGAATCGAAAAGAATGCAACTGCCACGGGTTGAGATAAGAACAGTTTAGTAACTAAGGTATAACACAGATCACTGCTGCTACCACCAATGATAATAATGATAAAGGAAATAACAAGGGAAGAGAATACAACACCTCACCACCAGCCGACCGATAACTCGCCCCCCCAGCCCGACCAAGCTCCGACCGATACCTCCTCCAACCCCGCAGTCTCCCAGCCCTTCCCGCTCACTCCCAGTTACCTCCTGGGCATGACGTGCTGTGGTATGGAATACCTCTTTGGTCAGTTTGGGTCAGGTGTCCTGTCTCTGCTTCCTCCCGGCTCCCCCTCCTCCCTGGCAGAGCATGAGGCTCACAAAGTCCTTGGCCAAACCAAAATATCCTTGTTATCAGCTCTGTTCCCGAGCTAAAAGTCAAAACACTGCACTGCACCAGCTACCAAGAAGGAGAAAAACATGACTGCTACTGCTGAACCCAGGACACTTCTTTCTTCAGATACCCCCACCCTAATTCTGTTGCCATAATAATGAAGAATTTTATTTGAATAAAGTTTCTGATGGCTCATATTAAAATCAGTCCCAGGGATTATGCTTCCTTTGCAATGTTCCATGTATTATTAAGTCTACGACCAATACAAGATTTTTCTGTCTTTGTATGCAGGCTTTACTAGAAGTAGTGAATGACCTCTTTGAGGAACAGACTGACTTGGAGAAAATTGTCAAGAAAATCATGCATCGGGCCCAGACTCTTCTGAAGTGTGAACGATGCTCAGTATTGCTATTGGAAGATATCGAATCACCAGTAAGTATGGCTACACATTGTGCAGCAAGGCACAATGAATGGTGGATCAGCTGCTTCTAAGTCATAAAGCTGTTTCATATGTAGAGTAATGGCAAGTATTCTTCTAGCACATCATTCTTAAATGTAAGGTAAGTACAGGTTGAATCTTTATCAGCAGCTCTGTTTTGGTTTAACCCCAGTAGGCACAACGTTTGGCATTACCGAAGTATGGTAGGGTTTTCTTGCAATTGCTCTGACCACTTAACCAAGGAAAAATTCTTTTATTGAACAGCTCTGTTATGTTGAACAGATGTATGTAGGATATATGAAGAGCTGTGCTTCACACATCGTTTTGACATGGGTTTTCACTGGGAATTTGTAATACTGCCATTTGTATGGTACAAGAGCCTCTTTATAAATGCTTAACATTTTTTGAGTATTGTTATTAGTAGTAAAAGAAGTGACTGCCTTTATATTGGTAGTTCCCTTCAGTGTTTTCAGGCAATTCAACATGAACTAGCCTCCTTTCTACTGATTTGAAAAGTTGTTGAAGGATAAAAATGTCGCTTGTAATATCAGTCTTTTTTCTATTCAAGTACCTTTGGATTCACTGACTCTGTAATTGATTATTTGTTGCTGGGCTGTGACATGTCTAAATGATTAGCAGAGGCAGGATCATGAGTCTGTGTGCATGATAGAAAAAAAACCCAACAACATTTTCTTTTCTGGAGGAACGACATGATTCTTATTTTATTTAAACTAATAGAAATTAAGTACTTTCAGTGGAGTATACCCTAAATTACATTAGCTTTCATAAAAACAAGATCAAGGGTAGTATTTTATTTATATGTTCTCTGTCAGAGAAATGTAATGTTTCTAGCTTATTTTCTCTTTCTAGACCTATAACCCCTCCTTCCCATTTTATAATTGCAATATACGGTTCTTCTACATTCTTACAAAATGCCACTAAGTTTGCCAGTATAAAATGATTTTCATTTTTCACAGAAAAGTACATTGTGTTAGTAGCAGGCTGCGGGTGGCATTGTTCACTTCATTTTTCTGCTCTTGGTACTGTTGCTGCCTTTGGGCACTGAGGGGTTTTTTTACCAAACCACAGCCAGTGAGTTCTCGTTCCTCTAGACTGAATTCTGAAATGTGGATAGCCAGGGTATTCAGATAAGCCTGAACTTTTTCTAATCAGTCATAAACCTTAGGTTGATTTGGAATAGGAGAATGGCCTTTTGCCACCCACTCAGTCATTTTTTACAATTGGAAAACCAGTTATTTTCCCAATTTCCCTGAATTTTGGAGGGTTAACCTATATATCAAAATAGATCTCCACAGAGTAACTCAACGTTAAGCCATGTCTAAAATACTGTAATTTTTACATCACACAGAAAGCTTTTGTAATACAGAACCAAAGTGGAAAAAAGCGGACCCACACTCGCATCCAAAACCATGACATGTTCTGTATCACATTAGCCTGTCTTAAAATGTTTCATTTATGTTCTGTTGGCACGTAAGTTCAAGGAAAATTGGTTGCAATTAGTAGACCAAGTGAGTGTTTCTGTTTATTTTCCTATGTTAAAGAAAGTAAAGGTTGAACAAAGCTCCATAATTCATGTTCCAAAGCCCTTTAAAGAGAAGCGTTATACTGTTGCAAAAAATGGTTTCATGAAGGAATCTAAAGATATACTACTTGATTAGATACTGTTAGCAAACTGTGCAGAGTGTGTATTTTGAACATGAATTCTCCACTGGGAGAATACAGATTGAATTTTTATTCTAAGACTACTGGCTAAAAATACAGTTTAAATATAAGAACCTTGCATTACTGTTTTCTTACTTATTTATTAATCTTAATAACAATTTTAAGTTACTTTTTTTGTGACAGGTGGTGAAATTTACAAAATCCTTTGAGTTGTTATCTCCAAAATGCAATGCTGATGCTGACAACAGGTTAGTGCTCATGTCTTCTATGGTAATGGATTGTTTTATTTTTCACATAGTTTTAAATTTGCTTGATCATAGTTTTATTTTTTTATGGAACTTTGGATAGATTTGATTAAAGAAGGAGTGCCTACAGTTTTTACTCAAATAAGACTCCTGTTTGCTTCAAATAGAGACATACTTGAATAAATATGCATGGTTATATTTTTATATATATGTGAGTATATAGAAGTGTGCTAACATTGTATCAGGGTCTCAAAGAGGAAACCAGTAAGTTACCAATGATTTTTTTTTTTTTAAATTTTTGAACTCATGGAGGACATATTAACTGTGTTTTGCACAGTTAATACTGAAGTAAAAATTGGAAAATTATTTTAGATTGTTGGTCTCTTACAAAATGCCTCATTACAGTTGTGTTGAAAGGTTTAAAGTAAAATTTTATTTCTGCTCTTGCTGTCAAGTTGGAAATCCTAAAAACCTCAGGGAATGTGTATTTCCCAGAAATTATGATGTTCTGACTAAATCTTGTTTGGGAGCCCAGTCAAAATAGAAGTAAATATTTTGTTAGTAATATCTGTATTTAAACATTGATAAAGGCATAATACTAAGTAGTAGTAGGAAGAACTTTTTGTTTATGTGGGGTTGCTGTATTAAGTCCTATAAGGTAATACAACTGGTAACAGTTCGCATAAAATGTCCAACATACTAAACAAGTGGACGAACATTCAGTGCTACTGTGAGAAGGTTCCTCCCATCTTTTGGGGCCCAAACTCAGTGATTAGCATACATGTTTTATGCAAATCAATACTGATTCTGAATTAGAATTTTCTGTTTCAAAAGGCTGCCATAATGAATAACCTGGCCTTCCATTCAATTTGCTATCTATATCATAGCAAACTTGAAGATTATTTTGTGCTTTGCCATATTTAAGCCCTTTAAGCACCTTCTAAAAATATTTGGGGTAATTTGCCTTCTTTTGTGCTATATTTCTCCATGTCCAGCGTAATAAGAAGCTACCACTTCATTAAGGTTAATGTGCACATTGACTGGTCATAATTCTTAATGCTTTTCATGGATTGATCTTGCAGCACTACAAAAATGGACGGCATGATTTTTAAGGTGGGCAAGCTGACAGCAGTGTTCAGGGCCCTACAGAAAGATGGGTAGAATCTAGCTCTCTTCTCTGCCCTATGCATTAATTGAGAGATGGGAATGGTGAGAAAAATGGAAAAGGAAAACAAATGATAAAAATTAGGAAAGTTTAAATATGAATAAATAATATTGGGAATAACAAGTTGCTGCTTTTGACAAAGAACTTCAGAGTAGCAGTTGGTCTTTCCTAGGTCAATTAAATGGGTGAAAATACATTCCTTTTGTTCAGGGACAGGAGTATGAATCAAGGGATGTGGTGGCTGTTCCTGTTTTTCTGAAACTTGATCTGTAGCCAGATTAGTCAAAACAATGTGGAGTGGTGTCAAGATAACCAAGCTGGCTCATTTCTTGTTACCATAGTTATATTAGCATGTTACCAAAAAGCAATTTGTAGTAGTCTGCTCTGCATGTAGTCAAGATTATTTTAACTTTATTCTGAGACATGAATAAATACATGTAATCTGGTAGCTAGTCTTCATAAGGTTTATAAACGTATATTTCTGTGCCTCTCAATATATTTATTGCTTTTTCTTCCATTTTTCATCCAGTCAAGAATGAAGTGGGTTTTACAAAGACCAAGGTTAGACTGACTGATATGATGTCACATTCAGATCTAGCACAGGCACAGCTCGAGTTATTTTCACTACAGTGGGAAAATAAAGGTTATTTAGGATATAGAACAATGCTGCGAGCCCTTGACATTTGAGCACTTTTCTAGGGAGTTTTGCCCTTTTCATTCTGCATTCTATAGCCACAAATGATGTAAAGTCATGAGACGTTTCATGTGGAAAAAAATAAGATGAGTTTTTTCAGCATTACACCAGTGAAGATAAATATTATTTCTTTGAAATTTTAGTGGAAATTCAAAGAGATTATAGGCATAGTTCTAGTTACAAGTTTTATCTGAAAGAGATATTGTCCAAGGACAATATAACTTTTAATGTCCCAAAATATTTTCTTATACAGTTTTAGAAGAAATAGGCTTTTTTTCTGCCCTTCCTCCATCTAGCTAATAGCAGCTCAACTGTTTAGTCCCTAAATAATATAATGAATACTCATATCTTTTTTTCTTTGCTGTTGGTTGTAAAGAAATACCTTGCAAAACCACATTGGCATTTATCTGTTCAATTTGCAATTTTCCAGCACACACCATGATCAAGTTTGTTTATCATCCATTATGGCACACTGATGCTCTTGTTTTTGCCATTTAGTTCTTGAAGTAGAGGTTTGCCAAGTCTCCTAAATTTTCTTTCCCTTTTAAAAGATTATACAAACGTTAGAAGCCTTGAGAGTTCAGTTCTGATGTATTCTAGATGAGTATGAGCTCAAGGGAGGGTGCTGTGGGCTATGTCTTTCCTGCACAGAAGTCATTTTGGCAGTTGATGTAGCTGAGATTACAGCTGTCTAACCTCGGTAGCACTGGTTATGGTCATGAGCCAGAATGTGGGTTGTGTGGGAGAAAATATCTCTGTCAGTTGGCTTAGGACAGAGAAAGTGTTGAAATCTCTGCTACTACTGTTTCACCACCAGACTCTGGGATTATGTATGCTCAGTATTGCCCCATTTCCTGCAGTATTTTTATGCTTTGTAAGGCACCTTTGTGATCTTCTAGTCCTAGGAGGTGGAAAGGTTCATGTCACTGCTTAGAGAGGATTGAAGGTACCCATGACTTTGGCTGTACCACTTCCCTACTGTACTTTCTGCCATCTGTGCCAGGGATACCTGGGGAGACAGCAAGGCAAGCAGCTGTATAAAGGACCCTGCAGCACTGCTCAGTGCTCTTGAGCAGCAGAGTTCGCTCTCCTGCATGGTATGTGTTGCTCCTGCTAGGGTGTGGGAGATGGTGGCATGAAGCTGCCTGCATCAGTCCAGCAGGATTCGCGGCTTTCCACAGTTTGGAGAAAATTGTTGCTTTGGTGTGTTCTGCGCTACTAAGGATGGAGAGAGCACCAGCTGGCTGTGATTTGCATCAAAATTAATCATTGATTTTTCTTCCTAGTGAAAGCTGAGTGCCTCTCTTCCAGAGTGTAGTTGTAAAGCCCTTGTTAGGAATGGAGACAACGTAGTAGAACACACTTTCAAAACTTCTTCCTGAATGATGTCTTCTTTCTTTTACTTGAATTTATTTGCTGCATAAAGTGCTTGGCACCCATAATGCAGTTCCAATTTAAAGTGTCTTATATAATAATAATATCCCCCAGATTTTTAAAGTATGAACTGGGAGTTGCGCATTTGAAATTAGATCCTTATCTGTCAAGATTTTTTTTTATTTCTCAAGTATTGGTCTCCTGAGAAATTTTAGATTATAAAACTGAATTTTTTACTTAGCTCAGAAAACAGTATATTTATGTAAAGATTCTTGTCAAAGTATACATATAAGATGTATTGCAGTCACTCAAAATGTTTAGCGCAAATGAAAGTTGCTAACACTTAGATTTATTTGTGTAAATCATTATTAGTATATTTATTTATAGTCTTTTTAAGAATATTGAGTTTTCTTTCAAATGAGCAATTTAGTTGAATTAGTCTCCAGAAAATCAATGCAGCCAGTAAAAATCAATCCTTTCACTTTGATTGAGCCTTTCAAGCATTGTACTATGATTCCTTCTTTCGTTCATGGGCATTACTTTGAAGCTTCAAACTATTCTAGTCTTCTTCATGTCTGCTCAGACTCACTTTTTTTCTAAGCAACATTGAAAATTTCTTCTTAAAACTAAGACAACATGCATTCGTTTATTCGTGCATGAATAGCTACACCTAGACAATGTCAAAAACCTGTCTGCAATAAGTCTGTGAGAATTTCCCTGATGATTGGATGAGGCTTAAAGTGAGGACTTTAATGCCTGTGTGGTTTCCTGCAGAAGCAGCAGTGGAGTGTGGTGAGTTGAGCCCATAATTCTAGAGTTTTATGCTCATTTACTGACATCTGTCTAGCCCCTTGGTAGATGTGTCAGTAGCTCAGCCAGGGAAAAAAAAGAAAGAAAAACGTCATGTACTGTGTATCTACTTGGATCCACCTGCTGCAGCACGCCTACATTATTGATTTTTAAGACTTATTTGATGATCCCTTCTTCAGCCATTCAGGTCTGGCATTTCAGACCATGATTTAAAAAAATAGCATTTCCCTTGACAGGATAGCCATTGGAAGTGTGAATTAAAAGTACCACAAACTATTAGACTAATTTGAAAAAAATATATTCCCAAGATTATATACTTTCAGGTAGCACTACAGAAAATATTATTTAGAACTGGTTGCTTTTTGTGAGCAGGCCTGTATCCCACAGAAGCTTGGAACATAATCCCACTCTTTGATTCACATGTAAATGCATTTCTTTATTAAAGATTGTATTTACTTTATTTGTGAGACCAATGATATTTTAACCATAAAGAATTGTGTAGAGATTTTTTGATGTACCATTTCAATAAATACTAAGTTATTGCTCCACAGATAATGTTTGTTAACCATTAATAACTGTGAATGGTTCTGTTCTTCCTATGAATATGCCTATAAGACATGCTGGACTTCCAAACAACACTGACTGTATTCTTGTCTTACCTTGCCATGCCTTTTGATAGTTTCAAGGACAGCGTGGAGAAATCATCGTCTTATTCTGACTGGCTAATAAATAATAGCATTGCTGAACTCGTAGCGTCCACAGGTCTCCCTGTGAACATCAGTGATGCCTATCAGGATCCTCGCTTTGATGCTGAAGTAAGAGATTTTTAGAAATCCAAATATACATCGTATTTTTAGCATTGCAACTAATATAACACCATTTTACTGTTATAGCCAAATGCCTGTGAAGTGTGAATATTTATTTTGAATTATTTGTCCAGTATGTCCTCCTGGTCTGCTGATGTTGACATGGCTATAAACAGGCCACTGAACTAGTGTATGACTTTATGCAGTTACTTAATCTGTCCAGGATTCACTTCTTTCCCTATTTATAAATGATACCTTCTCTAACAAATGATTTGATATTCATGCAAACTGATTTTTATTGCTGAATATTCAGCTGCTGGTGTTCAGCATAAGCAGCACCATCATTGTTAGTTGTTGGGGTGACTGGAACTGTACACATACAGAGAGTAAACAGAAACGGTATCTAGAGTGACAAATGTTTGTGATTTAATTTGGCCAACTAACCTTTTAATTTGCACAAATAAAATATGCACTCTGGATTAGTTATTTCTCCAAGATGCATACCACTCCTAATAAAAGTTGTGTTTGTATCCTAAGGTTTTCATTCCAGCCTCAGTTAGGAAGGTGTAGGTACGTTTAAAAGGATATATGTATACTTAACACCTAAATGAATGTCAGAGACATATGGAAGGACAAAATCTTCACTGAATTCTATCCAGTGAAATAGTATTACTATGGGGGACTTGGCCAGCCATTGGGCAGCACATTAATCAGTGGAGAGCCTTGGTCAGCAAGTTTGCTAAATCATATTACTCAATAAGTGCGCTTGGATGTGTTTCATATTGAGAGTTTGCTTGGGTCCGCTTTCATTCCATGTGTCATTAAAGGGTTTATCACTCAAACCAGCAGAATTTGTCAAAAGAAGAAAAACAGAGGCCTGCTGTAAAAGTGTACAAGAGAACTGTGTTGCTACTAATTTGCTTAGAATTTCAAAAAATACAATTAATGCCTGGGGTCTATTTCTTGCCAAAGAGATATGCTAAAGTAAAACACATCTGTTCCTGATACATGTGCGGTTGTATTTGTAATATATCATATCCTAATTAATTCATCCATCTCTTATTTGCTTCACAGTCCTTTCTGAGTTAGAGGCACTGCCCAATTTATAAAGAGAAAAAGGAAAACAATACAAAGGGCAGTAATTCTTTTCTGTTGGTGGGTTCCTATGAAAATTTAATTCTCAGAGTCAGTTGCGGCAATTATTTCTACAGCCAAGTGTAGTAAGAGAAACGTATTAACCCCTGTGACTTAAATAGGATCGCATCTGTAGTTACTAACATACTGTTTTCTTATTCTGTTCTCTGCTTCTATAAAAAAGTCTCTTTTTTTCCCCAGAACACTAATTGTCATTTTCAAATGTTGATGCTCAGTTTTCAACTCATTCATCAATAAATCAATGCTGAAGTATTTTCATTGAGTTCATATTTGAAGATATAAATTTGAGGCAATTTTTCTCTCATACCCATGGATTTTAGGTGGCACTCTGTGCTGATTTTAGTAATGAGTTCTGAGTATGTACAAATAAGCAGCACTGTAGTTAAAACCCGAGTTACATCTTTTGCTAGCTGGGAGATCACAGTGATCCCATCCTGCCTCCAGTATATGAATTATTGCTGGTCTAGTACTTTTCTTCCATTATAGATTGCCTGTAGCACTGACAGTTTTAGTATGAGAACATATCTTGGTTTCCTATGAATGGGCTCCTCCCACTCTCTAAGCTCTTCTGAAAAAGATGCATTATATTCTTCAAATTTTGCAGCAATGACTATAAAGAATAAAGCTGTAGAAAAAAAATCTGTGGCACTTAGAATAAATTTCTAAGTTTTATACTATATTAGGTAGAAAACAACAAATGAGGCAGAAAATACTTTTCAGAACTACAGGATCAATTAAACTTACATAGAAAATATCAAATCTTTGGTTTGACCCCATCCTTGCATAGCTTGCACTTCTGCATAATTCACTACTTACTCTTGCTTTTCTTCTGAAAATGCATTTCTTGTAAACTGCTTCTTATAGCTAAATCCAATTTCATTTTGATGATTGGAAAGAGTATTTCTAAAGCTCAGTTATTCCATGGAGATTGTCGCAACTCACCACTGTGAGTAATCCAGAAATTGACTGGACATTGCCTCAACTGTAGTTTGTCTTTAATTCCAAATCAGATTCAAATAGTGTAAGATTTCTGTGGCAAAGATGGCAATGTTTGTATTTTCTTTGGCAACTTTTAGAATAATCCTTATGTGTCTTGGTTAATCTAAATGTGAATGAGGTTTCAGCAGAATTTTTTCCTGGGTGAAGGCTGATCCATAGTGGAAGGATATTTGTAAGTGTAAGCTTACTCCTTGACTTTTCTACTACTAGAATGTAAAAGGCTGCAGATGATACCTTCCCTAATGGGAGCTCTTGTTTCTGTGTTTCAGGCTGACCAGATTTCTGGGTTTCATATACGGTCTGTTCTGTGTGTTCCTATATGGAACAGCAGCCACCAAATAATTGGTAAGACATTCCTCACGGCACACCGTTTTTTGTGCAGATGTACATTTAATTCTGTCCTTTACTTTTATGTTCCTTTTTCTTCTTCTTCTTTCCAACCCCCCCCCCAAATATTGTTAAGAAGTTACAGTACCTAGGATGCATGCTAAGTATCCAGGAAGCGATGTTTTGATTCGGATGCCCTATGGACTTATTAAGCTTTCTCCCTGTGTCATTGCTCAGTTATATATTGTATTGAAACTTGAAGACTAATAAGATGAAACCAGAAATTCTAATATTAGTGAAAAACTTTTTTATATGCTTTGGTATTTCTCTGGGGTCTCCGTTTTTTTGTACACAACTCAGACAACTGTTCCTACAGTCAGGTAAAGTGGACATTGCCCTCTTTAAAAATAAATGGCAGTCAAGGGAAGTCCTACCAGAGAGTGTGGCAGCTCAGAGCTGCCTGTGGCAGTGGTGTATGCTGGATCAGGACATGACAGAGTTTTATTGGTATGATGCTTCCCAGCTGTGATACACCTGAAGTTTTCCTTGCATTATTACCTGCTTTTGGCACAAGAAGGTTCGCCATTTGTAAACAACAGTGCCACATTCTTCAGTTAACTTTCCACAGTAGAATTCAAGTCAGAGCAATAGCAATTCAAACCGTCAGGGCAAGACTTACACCCCTGTGTATTGTGGCTGTCAGCAAGAGCTGATATCAGTAGTGCATTGCTGAAGGCACTCAGTGCCATGCAGGATTGGGATCTTTGAGCTTATTCAGCAAAGATGATGTAGGAATTGAGTCTTTTGAGAATATGACTCATTGTTTGCTGTGAAGTATTACCTTAAAAAAGTAGAAAAAACCTGATCCCTTAACTGCTGATAGATCTTGCAGTATTTTTCTAAGGGCATAGTATAACTAAATGAAATAGAAATGTGGAATTTAATTTTAGTTCAGCTAGAGACAAGAGCTTTGGATGCTGAGTTTTAAGGATTTCCTTTTCTTTGGTTCAGTAAATTAATGGACCAGGTATGTGTTAAAAAAGGACTTCAATACACAGGTGATGCTAAACCAACTAAGATTTTAGGAATGAAAGTATTGATTCAGCAAATTATATTAGAAACTCGAAATTGCTAGGACAGCTTACATAATTGCTGTTAGCAACATGCTCAGGTTCTTTCCCGAAGAGATCATCAACATTTTGTGAAAAGTGTTGTAACTTCTGAATTTGAAATATTATACTTGGACAGTAAAGAATAACAGTTTAATAAACTGAGTCCTGGTATCAAAACAATCAGACTTTGACATGTTTATGTCTGTTTATTGATTTTGAGTATAAATACTTGCAGTGTTGCTTTTCAGTTTGAAAGATGTATTTTAAATGTTACCAATGAATAAAATATCCTGCATTGTGAATTAATGATTGAAGATTATAATTCATATGCATTCTTTCTAAAGGGGTAGCTCAAGTGTTGAACAGGCTTGATGGGAAACCCTTTGATGATGCTGACCAGCGACTGTTTGAAGTAAGAGGCATTCAATTTTGTTGCAATAACCTACTACTTTTCAGCAGAATTTGGTATTTCTAGGTAATGCTACTTCAGGCTACTCTAGGGAGGGGGGGAAGAATACGTTGTCTGCATTTGTGGTTTGACATTAATTCTCACAACTCCTCACTTAATAAGGTTACATCCTAATTAAAACAAGTTTCTTGCATCTGTTCTTTCTCATCTTGTTGAAGCCAGTGACTTACCTGAATTTTCAAGATAACCTAACCATGATTATTCCTGGTATTTCCACATGATTCCTTTTCATTATTAAGCCAACATTCATCTTTGTGTCTGTATTATAATTGAGTTATAATTGACTTTCTTTTTTTTTTCTCTTTCTAATTTTAGGCTTTTGTTATTTTTTGTGGCCTGGGCATCAACAACACAATTATGTATGACCAAGTGAAGAAATCCTGGGCAAAACAGTCTGTGGCTCTTGACGTATGTGCACATCTTATTGAAACCTTTTCTTGCTCATAAGCATCACATGCAAAGGAACCTACTGCTTCTGAATTTATTGTAGTTAGCATCATTTTATATATATATCTCTCTGCATCTGAGCGTTATTAAGGTAATGCTGAAGGGAAATGTTCTCAGAGTATGCTTAGCTGTGGAACTCATGCACAGCTTGAGTAATTTTGAACATGGATATTTCATTTGATTTTTACATTACAAGGGTGGGACAGTGATGATAGAGAAGCTAGTTTCTTATAGGAGTAAGTGTGGGAATGAATCCAAGCATTACATGTATTTTTTTGTCCATCTGTATCTGAAAATTCCTTTGAATTTGATATTTTAGATAGCTTAGTGTTGTTTTTCTAATGCTGTAAAGTATAAGTAAAACACTCTGTGAAAGGACAAATTTGAAAATAGTGACTATTGTCATAGGGTTTCTTAGTATCAAAAGCAACATCTACTGAATCCTTATATGGATATATGTCTGACCAGAATAAAGTCCAAACAGGATGGCTGGAAGCTAAGCAAGAGCTGTGCTGTTGGCCAGGGCTAATACATAATGCAAAGTCCTGGCATTTTCCAACACATCACGTCTTTCTGGAAAATACTTCTAGAATAGCTAAATGGATGAGAAGCTTTCTCTTTTTTTTTTACCTGTTGCCTTTGGTATGAATTTCTTTTCCTGTTTATGCCACCTGCTACCATTCATGAAAAATGGAAATCTGCCAGCTCCTATAGAACAAACTAAAATACAGAACATTTTTTAAGAAATATTATTTGATCTTCTATAAGCTGATTCAACAATAAAACACTATTCTTATCTACTATATTCTGTAGGCTTTAAGCATAATCATATTAAAAATAATCTTGGTGAGAACAAAGCATGGAGTTTTGAGGATAGCTTTACAAATCTACGTTAGTCCTGCTTAAACAGTAATTAAGAATGGTTTGAATGAAATTTAAGATCTTTTAGAAAAGCATTATGCAAAACTGATTAATCTTAAAAGATTCAAGACCAGGTTGGATGAGGCCTTGGGTGATATGGTTTAGTGTGAGGTGTCCCTGCCCATGGCAGGGGGGTTGGAACATGATGATCTTAAGGTCCTTTCCAACCCTAACTGTTCTATGATTCTATGATTCCTCTGATGAATGGGTAATGTTGCTAAGATTTCAGTATTGTTTTATATTTTAAATGTGATAAGAGAAGAAAATGATCTAGCTGCACCCTTTAACTGTAACTCCTTTGAATTTACACAGCACCCACCATTACAATGAGAACCACAAAGCCAGCATTGGCCTGATTGAGATATGAATTTCTCGCTATTAAAACAAAAAGCAAACCAAACTGGATTGCTGTGAAGATGCTATAATTGTATAGTTTTATTTTGCTTTAGAGTTGGAGATATTTATCTATGTATTGGAGATCTACTCTGTAAAGCATATAGGCATGTTAAGGCTTTTTGAAGTCAATAGGACTGTTTGTGTTAGAAAACATCCTTGACTTTTTTTTTATTACCCATGTATATGTATTCACTTAGGAAGAAATGTTAAAAACTTTCCTTTTTAGGACTTCTGCAAGATTCCTTATTCTTTACATACCATAGTAATGAAATACTAAAAGCCCTCATACGCACCAGATATTTGTGCAATATGACACCTTAGAATGAATATTCCTCCTGGCAAAAAAAACAGGCAATGCCAGATATCGCACTCAGATACATAGTGATCAATGTTAACACAGAAATTTGTCATTTACTACTAAAATCAATGAAATACAATTTTCTTGTTTTAAAATACAGCTTGTTTCTTTGGTCAAGAAAAGACTCGTATATCTTGAATGTAGATTACAGGTTCGATATAGTCACTGTGCTTCAGTGAAGAGTAATTCTTTCTATAAATGAGCAACAACTTGTGATAATGTTTGTGTAAAGTGATTGAAGACAGAGCAAAGTACTGAACAAAAGAATGGTGTATGCTGAAGTACTGCAAAACCATTTTTCAGTAATAGAATAATAGTAGTTGTGTATTTAGGTAGGATGGCAATGAGTGGCATTTGAAATGACATTCATATTGGATGTAAAATAAATCAACTTGATATATACTGTAATAAGATTCTTATCCAGATATACAGGTACTCTTTTTCACAGAGAATTCTCAGAAGGTTGACTAATAAAGAGAAGATCAAAATGGAAATAAATGATCAGGGAAGGTTGAAAGTAGGATGCCATGTAGGCATGAAGTAGGATGGCTCAAAGCTAGGCTGAATAGTATTTTATATATTAAGGAGACAAAATTAATGAATGTTTAAAAGATTACAATAGTCAATATTAAGGAAGACTAGAGATCTAGAGGGATACAATGAATGCAGGTAAAGGAGAATCTTCACAAGAATTTTAGTATAAAATGTTATCTGTCATAGTAGAAAACATAATTTAACTAATCTTATAGATTTATGAGAGAAGCTGCAATATGGTTGGACAGAAAAATAGATACTGTTAGAGGAAGGACATGATGTGGAGTTACAGAAAGTAAACCAAGGGACAAAACATGAATTGGTGTTTGTTATTGTTATTTATTCTTTCATAGTGCCGGAATGATTTCCTGTTACTGTAAAAGATGACACCTCTAAAATTGATATGAGTAAATATATCTTGGAACTTATTCCCACAAGGTATTGCAAGCCAAGGGCGTTTGAAATAGGCTTAGGTATTTATACGAGTAACAGAGACATTCACAGATGAAAACAATTTCAAAATAAGAAATATATATCAAAGCTTTAGCACTAAGTAGATAGGATGTTTGTATGGTGAGAAGGACCTGTCCTTGCTAGGAGTGTTCTGGCTCTGTGAGCTCCCTCAAGGACAAGAGCCTCATCCCCCACACACAGTCAGACCTTGGTGGGTCCAGTTCACAGGATGGCTCTTGCACCTTTTGGGATGTTGTTCAATGTTATTATTGCCACATAGGGATATTATTTATTCCATGTAAATGTATGCATGCATGCAGGTAATAAGAGGAGATGTACAGTACTTTGTGCATTTTATTTGATGCTTTCATCTCCAAAATGGTACTGACAAGCATGTCAGGCATAACATAGAGGTGCTAATTTACATGCAGTGATGCGTCACTAGCAAAGGCATAAGGCTTTACAGTATTGAAAAAGGCATTATTTAAAGTCTGTAAATCTACTATTATTTTTACATCAAATTCTTTTTATTGTGGAACAGGAGAACAATGTAGGAATGCTTATAATATTAAATTGTTTACTGTCCATGATTCCCTATAAAATTCCCTGCAACATAAATGCCAAATGTATACCTGATAATCTGCAATTAGTTATTATATGCTGACATTCAGAACTGAATTACCATGCCCAAATATTAATTAAATTTGTTTTAAATATCCTTGATTAGACTATAGTATGGAGCCCTATTATTTCTACTTATCAAGCTTATAAAAATTTGTTTTTATCTTTTGCTCTGGGGCAGGTGTTATCTTATCATGCAACATGTTCAAGGGCAGAAGTTGACAAATTTAAGGTAAGGATTTAAGTTTTTAGTTATTTCTGAAAATATAACGGTAAAGTAAAATGGATGTAGATTATCTGACAGAAAAGTTTTTGTCAAAAGCGGAAAATCATAACTAACTTTAATTTATAAAGGATGTATTATACATTAGGCTGTTAGGCAGGGAAGGTGGTGTCCTGGGTTCAGCAGTAGCAGTCATTTTTTCCCTTCTTGGTAGCTGGTGCAGTGCAGTGTTTTGACTTTCAGCTTGGGAACAGAGCTGATAGTGATGTTTAGGTTTGGCCAAGGACTTTGTGAGCCTCATGCTCTGCCAGGGAGGAGGGGAAGCCAGGAGGAAGTAGAGACAGGACACCTGACCCAAACTGACCAAAGAAGTATTCCATACCACAGCACGTCATGCCCAGGATGTAACTGGGAGTTAGCCGGAGGGGCTGGGGGACTGCGGGGTTGGAGGAGGTATCGGTCAGAGCTTGGTCGGGGCTGGGGGGGCGAGTTATCGGTTGGCTGGTGGTGAGATGATGTATTCTCTTCCCTTGTTATTTCCTTTATCATTATTATCATTGGTGGTAGCAGTAGTGATCTGTGTTATACCTTAGTTACTAAACTGTTCTTATCTCAACCCGTGGGAGTTGCATTCTTTTCGATTCTCCTCTCCGTCCCTCCGGGAGCAGGGGGAGGGCAAGAAAGGGGGGGAGTGAGTGAACGAGTTTGCCTGACTGGGTTTAAACCACGACAGTTCTTTTTGGCGCCCAACGTGGGGCACGAAGGGTTGAGATAACGACAGATTTGACTGGATTAATAGTCACTCGTCACAATGCTGATTTATTGGCTCTCAGAGTTCTTTCGCTTGATCTCACAGCTTCAGAATGTTGTAACTTACGTAGAGCCGGTATTTGCTGTGATAGTGTTTATCAAGTATGGGGCCTGGGCTAAGGTTCTTGTCTCACTGTGCTTTATGGCAATGGCTTGTAATACGGGTGGGCTCCAGCAGCAGGGTGGGACGGACGTGGCCGTGGACTTGTACCTGGCCGTCCGGCTGCTCTTCACCGTCCTGGCCCTCACCCTGCTCTCCATCTTCGTGAGGCTGCGGGGAGCCGAGGGGGAGCGGCCCCGGGAGCCGGCGGCAGCCGAACCGGCCCGGGAGAGCGGCCCCGGGGACCAAGCGGCGGCGGGAGCGGGGCCGGAGGCCGCGAGGGGACGGCTGCCGGTGGAGGAGGTCGGGGCGGTCGAGGAGAGGAAGGAGGCGGCTGCCGAGCAGCGGGAGAAGGCGGCGGAGGAGCCGAGCCCCGCGGAGGAGCCGAGCCCCGCGGCCGAGCCCAGCCCCGCGACCGCCGAGAGCGTTTCCCGGAAGCCGCCCGCCGAGCCCCAGGAGGATGCAGGAGACCACGCAGCACTTCCCAGCAAGGCAGAGGAGGAAGAGCTGGACTCGGGAAAAGAGAAGCTGGCGGTGGGAGAGCCGGCAAGCACAGCAGCTGCACCAGCCCCAGTGACAAGTACAGCAGCATCCTCTGAGAGTTCTGAAGGTTTCGAATGGCCTTTGGGCATCCTTGGGACCTGCCTGCTGATTGTGATGGGGATCAGCATGTTGGCACACACACAGACTGTGTTCTACCCACAACCATTTTGTCTGATCTCAAAAGTTAAGCAGAGTCAGGTTTGGGTCTTGTCTGGGGTTAGACGAGGATATAGGGGGACCAAAAGGTTTTCTCCAAGGCTGGACAGTCATGAGTGGCAGGGTGTGTGGGACAGTATGGGCAAGTATCTAGTCCCCTGGGCCCCTCCAGTGCTTTGGAAGCATTGGAGATGGAAGGCAGCTGTATGGAGTCCCCAGCAACAAGCTGCAGAAACTGCTTAAGGGGACAGTGAATTATTTTAAGCCTGGTGGGCCCATGGCACTTCAGGCCATCAGAGCAGAGATGCCACATAGAGATGGACTCATGATCGAGGGGTGGATTTAGCAATGGACACTATTGCCCAGGTTATTCACGAGTGTGAACACTGCACACAGTCTCTCCTGCTCTGGAAGACTGTTACAAGAGATGGAGCCTGACATTATGGACCAGATGGACTCAGCAGCTTTATAGGGATATAGCTTTATAGTCCATGCACTTAGATAAGAGTGGAGTGATGGGTGTACTGAAAATGTGGGATCTGAGCATGACGTGAATGGTATGGAATAAGGGGTGGATAATGTCCTGGGTTCAGCAGTAGCAGTCATTTTTTCCCTTCTTGGTAGCTGGTGCAGTGCAGTGTTTTGACTTTCAGCTTGGGAACAGAGCTGATAGTGATGTTTAGGTTTGGCCAAGGACTTTGTGAGCCTCATGCTCTGCCAGGGAGGAGGGGAAGCCAGGAGGAAGTAGAGACAGGACACCTGACCCAAACTGACCAAAGAAGTATTCCATACCACAGCACGTCATGCCCAGGATGTAACTGGGAGTTACCCGGAAGGGCTGGGGGACTGCGGGGTTGGAGGAGGGATGGGTCGGGGCTTGGTCGGGCTGGAGGGGCGAGTTATCGGTTGGCTGGTGGTGAGATGATGTATTCTCTTCCCTTGTTATTTCCTTTATCATTATTATCATTGGTGGTAGCAGTAGTGATCTGTGTTATACCTTAGTTACTAAACTGTTCTTATCTCAACCCGTGGGAGTTGCATTCTTTTCGATTCTCCTCTCCGTCCCTCCGGGAGCAGGGGGAGGGCAAGAAAGGGGGGGAGTGAGTGAACGAGTTTGCCTGACTGGGTTTAAACCACGACAGGTGGAAAAAGTCTTTCAAACGATAAAGAGCTGCAGTAATAGGTGCACAGCAGCAAAATACCATTGCTCCAGCACCAGCTGCTGGAACTGCACATCAGTGTGGGTTTGGTGCCCTCCTCAGCAGGACCCGCTACAGGGAAGTCATGGTGGGCGGTGAGGAAAAGACTAGAGAAAATGAGAGGAACATGCTTATAGTGTGGAAGCTGTCCTGTGTTTACTTAAAAAGCAGAGAATTCACTATTAAGATTGTGCATAGGCTTAGAAGGCTGAATGTGATGGTGAGAAATCCTCTTCTGACTTCTGTAAGCACAGGCAGAACTGTAAAGTGATGTGTGCATAATATAGCATTGCTGGGGACCAATAATGATGTGTTCACACTGAATCCTGCCTTCCCAAGGGGCAGAGAGTAGGAGGAGCAGTGACCTTGCCCTTTCACCTCTGCCAGCATTCCAGCACAGCCTTTGCTTGTCCTTTTTTGCTTGAGGAAAACTTGGTGTTGCTTTACTTGGCTATGAGGAGTAAGCATTGAGAGCTCCTCACAACTGTTTTAGAAGCTTTTGTGGTGGGTATCAGGGTTGGTTTCTTTATGCAAAGTACCTCAGAGGCTGGGAAGGAGATCAGGGCTGTTGTGACCCCACACTGCTGGCATTCCCTGCTGTGGCTCCTTGTCACCTATCCGACTAAAAAATAGCTGTTTGTTTATTTTGACACTTGGCTGGCTGGGTGCAACCTGATCTCCACACCATGCCGATGGTTGTGGTCCAATGGGAAAGCCTTGGGTGACTTAGCAGAGCTGATACTGATGAGTTATGTGAGCCAAGGAAGGGCAGCTGTTACTAGTTAGTTATTAGTTGGTAGATTATTGCCCAAACACTGGCTGTGCCTATCACCAGGTAGCAATGCAGAGTTCTAAGGGTGTAATATATTGTCTCCCTCCATTGTAGTCGTTGGTGCAGTTACTCACCCTTTTGTAAGATGAAGAGTAGGTACCTGAATTACTGCTGCAATCATACATCCTTGAAGATTATTCCAACACTGTAGCCATCAGAAAATACTTTTGTGTGCTTAATAAGTTATATTTTATGTTGCGCAAACACCACTGAACACTGTGTGAGAGAGGGGGGAAAGAAAAGGATAAAGTGCCATATATAATTTTTTTTAAGGTTGGGGTTTTGTTTGGTTTGGGTTTGTTATTTTCTGGGTGGGTTTGGTGGTGTGTTATTGTTGCTTGGTTTGGTTTGCTGGTTTGATTGTTTGGGCTTTTTTTTTAGTTTACCTTAGAATAAGCACCTGTAATACAGCTTCCATGATTGTCAGGATTCAACCAATATTTTTCTACATACCAGAGGGCCATACTTCTTGGTTGCTTTCAATCATTGAAAGATAATTCTCCATCATGGTCTGTGGAGTTGAAATAAGAGTCTGCCATGTTACTCTTTGGACCTAGGTACTAGTGTGATGAGGAGCTATTCTACTTGTTTTCCCAGATGTTTCCATTAATAGATTTGTTGGTCTCCAAGTAGAGAATGTCTTCTTGTTATTCTGAAGGCCTGTAACTATCCCTTTAATGGTTAATGACAAGGTAAAGGGAAATGAAAAGCATTTATTCATTAGTATCCCTGATAGATACAATTTTATACAGAAGATAAATGAGAAAATGAGGAATAAAACCAATCTGTGCTTAAACTAAGCTGAGAGACTTTTTAAAGAAAAATTTCCCCTTATTATCCAGTTGACTCTCTTTCAGTTCCTGACAAAATGAGTGCCAGGTAGTCTGTGTTAGTGCTTTGCACAACTGGTTGTAAACAAAATAAACCCCAACAAAACCAGAGGGAGGACCAGTGTGTCTTGGGGGCCTTCAACAGAGAACTCATCCCCAGAGAGGGCCATCCATCTGTGTGATAAAATTGCTTCTGTCTCACCCCTCTGGCAGCCAGTCTCCCTGCCGAGGTCTCCTGGGGCATCCTACCCTGAAATCACAGCTCTTTTCTCTGTTTGTTATATTGTTATATTTCGTATATATATTCGTATAACCCCTTTGTTATATTAGGGTCATCTTCTAGACTTGACTGGCTAATAAACAATTCCTCCCTCTGGGGGTGTTTGTGGCTAAACCTATCCCCTCTCCTTTTGGTGATTTATTGGCAGATGTCAGAGGAAATGTCTGTTACAATTTACCTGTTGTTCTGGTTCAGTTAGAATAGTAACAGACTCACATGACAGAGACATCTAAATGAGAGTAATGCCAGTAGCTCACTA